AAAATGGGAATGGCAAACAATGGGACAATGGGAATGACGGGAATGGCAAATACCGGGATAACAGGAATAATGGGAATGGCAAACACTGGGAAAATGGGAATAAGGGGAATAGCAAACACCAGGATAATGGGATAATGGGAATGGCAAACAGCAGGATCATGGGATAATGGGAATGGCAAACATTGGGATCATGGGATAATGGGAATGGTAAACACTGGGATAACGGGAATAATAAACACCCGGATTATGGGAATACTAAGCACTGGGATAATGGGAATAGCAAATACCAGGATAATGGGATAATAGGAATGGCAAACACCGGGATAACGGGAACAATAAACACCCTGACACCGGAACAACGGGAATGGCAGACACCAGGATAATGGGAATAACGGGAATGACAAACACCGGGATAACGGGAATGACAAGCACCGGGATAACAGCCCTGGGAAACACAAACACCGAGAAACCAACACTGGGAATAACAAACTCCCTGACACCAGGATAACGGGAATAACGAACATTGGGAAAACAGCCCCGGGATAATGGGAAAAACAAACACCAGGAACAACAAACACCCGGATAACAGCTCCGGGAAAAACGAACACCCTGACACCGGGATAATGGGAGTGCTGGGAAAGCAGCCCTGGGAATAATGGGGGTGGGAATGACAAACTCTGGGATAACAAATCTGGAAATGACAAACACCGGGATAATGGGAATAATAAACACTGGGAAAAAACCCGGGGATAACAAACACCGGGATAACAGCCCTGGGAATGACAAACACCGGGATGAAAACCCGGGAATAATGAACACCCTGACATTGGGATAATGGGAATAACAAACACCGGGATAACAGCTCTGGGAATGACAAACACCGGGATAAAAACCCCGGGAATAATGAACACTGGGAAAAACAGCCCTGGGAATAACAAACACCCTGACACCAGGATAATGGGAATGACGAAGACTGGGAAAACAGCCCTGGGAATAATGAACGCCCTGAGGGTGGGAATGACAAACACCGGGATAAAAGTCCCGGGAATAATGAACACCCTGAGAGTGGGAATAACAACTCTGGGAATGATAAACACCGGGATAACAGCTCCGGGAATGACAAACACCGGAATAAAAGCCCTGGGAATAAGAAATGCCCTGGAATATCCCTGAGACTGGGATAACGGGAATAATGAACGCTGGGAAAAACAGCCCTGGGAATAACGAACACCCTGAGGGCGGGAATGACGAACACCAGGATAAAAGCCCTGGAGTAATGAAAACCAGGATTAAAGCTCCGGGAATGACAATCACCGGGATAACAGCACTGGGAATGACAGACACCAGGATTAAAGTTCCAGGAATAAGAAACACCAGGATAACAGCACTGGGAATAGCGAACACCGGGATAAAAGTTCTGGGAATAACAAACACCAGGATAAAAGCCCCTGGAATAAGAAACACCGGGATAAATCTCCCAGGAATAACAAACACTGGGATAAAAACTCCGGGAATAACAAACACCGGGATAAAAGCTCCGGGAATAATAAAGCCCCAGGAATAAAACCCCCGGGAATTACAAACACCAGGATAAAAGCTCCGGGAATAATAAAGCCCCAGGAATAAAACCCCCGGGAATTACAAACACCAGGATAAAAGCTCCGGGAATAACGAACACCGGGATAAAACCCCCGGGAATAACGAGCACCCCGAGCCCGGTGTTTCCTCTCCGGGAACTCTTTTCCATCCCCGCACCGGGATTTAGGGTCTGGGAAATATCCCAAAATCCACATCCCGAATCTGGGAACCCACGAGCGCCCCAACACCCGGATCCGAGCCCTGGGAACAAACAGGCGCCCCAGGATCCCTGTCCCAATCCTGGGAATCCACAGGAAACCCAAAATCATCCGTGTGACAGCCCCGGGGACCGAGGGACACCCCAAAATCTGTGTGACAGCCCCGGGGACACCCCAAAATCCGTGTGACAGCCCCGGGGACCGAGGGACACCCCAAAATCTGTGTGACAGCCCCGGGGACACCCCAAAATCCGTGTGACAGTCTTGGCGACACCCCAAAATCCGTGTGACAGCCCCGGGAACATCCCAAAATCCGTGTGACAGCCCCGGGGACCGAGGGACACCCCAAAATCCGTGTGACAGTCTTGGGGACACCCCAAAATCCGTGTGACAGCCCTGGGGACATCCCAAAATCCGTGTGACAGCCCCGGGGACATCCCAAAATCTGTGTGACAGCCCGGGGACTCAGGGACACCCCAAAATCTGTCCCAAACCTGGTGTGCCCCATCCCATTTTCCCATTATCCCATTATCCCACCCCGTCTCGGTGGGACCCAGGGGAATGGTGGCCAGGACCCAGTGTCACCCACTGTCCCCTCAATGTCCCCTCTCTGTCCCTCACTGTCCCCTCACTGTCCCCTCACTGTCCCCTCACTGTCCCCTCAATGTCCCCTCCCTGTCCCTCACTGTCCCCTCTCTGTCCCCTCAATGTCCCCTCTCTGTCCCCTCTCTGTCCCCTCACTGTCCCCTCAATGTCCCCTCACTGTCCCCTCACTGTCCCCTC